ACGTCCCACGAGAGTGCAGCCTAGGTCCCACCAGTGCATGCAGCATATGTCCCACTACTGCATGCAGCCTATCTACCAATTCCACCGCCTGAAATATTAGACTGTCCCGTGACCTGTGGATTTCCTCTGTTTGGGGTAGGATATAAAGAGAGAACAATATTCTGCTGCATTTTTTGATATATCTGTGGCTTCATTTTAAATACAAATGTCATCGTCTGCACCATGGATGTTGTCAGCAGTCGATATGAGCCTGATTTCAGTGGATGTCATTTACAGACAGAGTCCATGTTGTAATAGTAATTACCAGCACAGAAAGCACAGCAAATGTCCAAGTCCAAGTCCTTTTGAGAAAAAAAAAAAAAGAAAAGCTCGACCACGTTCTGACTGCTGCTAGCTAGCCGAGGCTGTTAGCAGTCTCCGCCTATATTTGTGGTCTGGGTTATTTGTGTCACTTTCGTGACTAAATTCTAGAATTGCGCCATTTCTGGGCTTGATGCTTCCATCCGGTTCCGACGGCTCGTCCTGCACCCTGTTGTTAGCTGTTCGTTTCTTTCCTCTTCTTATCCGGTGTTTCCTCTTGCTTTCATCTCTCTCTGATTTGGCCAGGCGTATCTGGTAGGAGAGCGAGCTTTAGCACAGCAAATGGACTAGGGATTACTTATAAATTGTCATTTCCTTCTTTGGAGTGTAACAAGCACCACCTCATAATTTGTGTAGATCAACAGATGTTGGGTGGATGATGTGGTCGTTATGATCCTGGTCCCCTTTACCTCCCAAGATATTTCTAAGCATGCATTTTAGCCTCAGTCAACTCACGAGTCAACTTAAGGTTGGCTTGGCCTGATAACCCGGACTTCAATAAGCATTAATACCTAGAACCAGACTTCCGTTTTTTAAATGGCGACGAGCGGCTATGTTATTTTTCAGTGGTTGTGATTTCTCTAGATTTATTTTGTTCCATTGTCATTGACTTCAATCTATTTTTTTTACTCCCCCCCCCCCCCCCCGTTTTCAATGCAGGATACTGTGTGTGTATGTGTGTGTGTGTGAGCGCGCGCGCGTGCGTGAGTGTGTGCTTATGTGTGTGTGTTTTCCCGTTGGAGCAGCGTGTATTGTGGCTGTGCTCTGTTGGAGCTGGTTAATGACAGAGATTAAGCAGCCTGAACCACACTGTGCCCGCAACGTTTTAATAGTGTTGGTCTACCTGGGAAGACAAAATCTCGTCAGCAGGAGACTGCAAACTGTTTAGAGAGTACAGGCGATACAAACTGTTCACAGAAACGGAATGTGTCAACCATTATGTGGGAAGGGATCAACACATACGGTTACCTAAATGGTCGAACTTAGAATTACCAGACCGGCTGGAAAACGTACTAGCAACTGCTACCGTTACTGTCCTAGTCATACATACAAGGTGCCATACAGCAGATTATTAAACGTTTTAAACAATAGTTGCATTGTAGTAATTGTTGACAATGTTACATTCATAGATAATGTTACATTCATAGACAATGTTACATTGACACAAACTGTCCTAGTCATACATACAAGGTGCCATACGGCAGATTATTACAAGTTTAAAACAATAGTTGCGTTGCAGTAATTTTTGACAATGTTACATTCATAGACAATGTTACATTCACAGAAATTGTTACACTGACACAATTCACAGCTAGTGTTGCATAGACGCAGTGCTAGACAGTATTACACGGAATTAATTATAAGCAATATTAAACTCAAGTAATTGGATATGTCTACACTGAAGTAAAGAAAGACAATTTTACACGAATTTAATCATAGACAATCTTACACTGAGGTAATCATAGACATTGTTATAATGAAGTAATCATAGACTGCGCTGCCTGGTAATAATCACAGACAACCTTACATGGAAGAAATCAAAAACTATTTTTTAAGTAATTGTAGAGAGGGCTACCTCAAAGTAATTGTAGAGAGGGCTACCTCAAAGTAATTGTAGACAATGTTACAGTTAAGTAATTATAGACAATGTTGCATAGAAGTAATCATCGACAATGTTATATTGAAGTATTAATAGACAATGTTGCATTCAAGTAATCATCAACAATGTTATATTGCAGTAATTATAGACAATGTTACATAGAAGTAATCATCGACAATGTTATATTAAAGTATTTATATACAATGCTGCATTCAAGTAATCATCGGTTATGTTATACTGAAGTAATCATAGACAATGCTGCATTCAAGTAATCATAGACAATGTTATGGTGAAGTAAACACAAACAATGTCGCACTGAAGTAATACGCTTAAAATGTAATTTGGTAGTTGGAAATTAAGAATTATAGGCCAATCGGTAACGCCCTGACAAAGAGCTATATAGGCAAAATAATTCAGTTCATTTTCTTCATAGATCACACGAAAGCAGTTGGCAGTGGTGAGTTTGAGTTGATTATAATACTAACTAGAATAAGTAAGCAATAGTGGCAATAGATCGAGTATTGACAGCAAAACAGCAGATCATTGCATAAAGGAAAATAAATATATTACTCAAAGAAATGTAATATAGATTTGTTTTAATTGATTTTTTTATAATTCTTTTTAGTTTTTTTTTTTTTTTTAGTTTTTTTTTTTTATTAACTCTTATATATTGTAGCTAATATGCTTCCCTCAGTTTGTGACGATATTTACAGAATATTTTACAGGAATCGTGGATGTTTTAATTTGTAAAAATTTTTTCAATTTCTGTTTTGGCAATGAAATCCTTTTAATAGCTCATCGTCGTCTTTGCTTGGACTTCGGAAGAAAGACTTGGTTGTTTGTTCACTTCTGGACTGTCGTCTTGTTTAAGAACCTGAGTTTTGCGTGCACATCCGTTTTACAGATCTGGCTTATTTGTGTGCACACTGTTGATTCTTGGTGTCTCATAAGATTGCACTGTGACTTCGAAATACACATCACTAATTAGTCTTCCTTACGAATTGCTTGTTGGGGACGGTGGGTCTATTCTGATTTTGTTCCTAAAATGGGAACCTGACACCCACACGATGAGTCTTCAGAGCAACTAGCCAGAAGAAACTACATAAAACAGATTCAGTGACTGAGAGGAGCAGGAAACGGACGGTATTTTGAATAATATGAAGATTGAAGTTATGGAAATATCAGTGAAACGATTCATTCTCACATACGTAATTACAGTCAGTGGCATTACATTTGGGGCAAGAACATAATTGAAGCGTTTAGGCCAGTGTTTTCCAAACTAATTCTTGGTCGCGGCGCCTTTTTTCAATTAAAATTTTTCCACGGCGCCCCAACCTAAGTAAAAGTATGACTATTCGTATGTAAGAGCTTAAAAAAAAAGAAAACTCTTGTATCTTCCAATATTTCTCGGCGCCCCTGCGAAGAGGTCGTGGCGCCGCGGCGCACAGTTTTGGAATCACTGATTTAGGCACATGGAAAACATCCGATAGAAGGTAATTCGCAGAGATTAAGTGCACAATAAAATTAGCCAAAAAAAATCTTTTTATTTTTTTATTTTTTTATTTGAAGAACATCTAATGCAATAAATAACCACAGTTGCTGGGTTTTAGCAACGGAATTCTTGTATTTAGCTTGTAAAATGAGTCTGTAGACGGTGGACAGTTGCTAAACAAGCAAGGGAATCCATTGAGATCTCATACATTTTATTTTATAGAAGAATAGTAATCATTCATGGGGCAGTCAAAGTGGACAATCTAACCATCCATCCATTGGGGGGAAAAAAATCGATCACCTCCAACCTAGCGCGAGCAGTATTGGTTATAATTGTAGTCTGATTTCTTGGTGCCAGTTATAGCGGCTAGCAAAATTAGATTGCTCACTACTAGGTACTAGAATACCAGTCCAAGTCACTAGTTTTGGTGCAATTAACATTTTTTACACGCCATAACTTGCACCAAGAAATGTTAATTGCACCAACATAGCTAGTGACTTGTGGTGTTACCTAATGGTGAGCAATCTAATTTTTGTGTGTTAAGAAACAGGAACATTAAGACAGATTATCACAGATCAGTAAGGCGGTTGTGTGGATTACCGCTAGAGGTTAAACTTAATTTACATAAATACCCGCAGATCCGAATACCGTTTGATGAAATAGAAAAAAAAAAACTGGGAGTTCTGTTGCGAAAAAGGCCTCGAGTGGTACTACATACAGTTATATCTCGGGACTTTATTATATTTCATAGGCTTTCGGATAGGTTAATTAATGCTCGAAATTTTTTGATGCCAATTTTTATTGTAAAGGCTTTAGTTCATGTTCTGAGAAAAGAAGCACTGCCAAATATCGTGACGACTGGAAAGATCGCTGGTAGAAGCGGCAGAGACCTACCAAGAGAACTGATGGTGGATGGCTTGAGACAGTGGCATGGAAGAAAAGCATCAGTGGAATTGATTCAGAACAGGAAAGACCGAGATCTGTGGCGATGCATGAACGCCTACGCCAGCTGGCAAGGCACTTGATGCTGACCACTGATAGGTAGCAACAGGTTACGAACTGGTACACGGTGTTCTAAACTGTAAGGTTTTTTTTTGGGGGGGGGGGGGGGGGGGGGGGGGGGGGGGGGGGGGGGGGGGGGGGGGGGGGGGGGGGGGGGGGGGGGGTGGGGGGGGGGGGGGGGGGGGGGGGGGGGTGTACGGTGTACGGTGCGCAGCAGTACTTAATACTGGTACCTATTGTTAGGACGTATTTTTTTTTTTTAAATGATTTCTGTAATAGACACTTCGTGGTGGGTACACCCATACAATAAGTTTGGTAGCAACAAGTCAGAAGAAACTACATGACACACAGATACAGTGTTTGCAGACACACTTTAAAGACATTTTATGGTGAGTACTGGTACCTACTTTGTTTAGAAGGGGGAAAAGAGCCATCGTGTGAAGCATTAGGGCTCCAACCAGTCGGCAATTCGCTTGATGATAATGCTGTTTTGCAAAGAAAAATTGTATCACAACCTACATAATATATAGCGAAGCCCCAATGATGTTACTGTACATTGAAATTCTTCTTACAGAATTCAAAAGGCAATTTTTTCGTAATTAATGCTTCCCTTTTTCTGGAATATTTGATCATTAGAAATTTAGAATTTTTGTTAATTCTTACATTTCCACCTTTCAAACTTCCACTGAAGAAAACAATAACTTTACAAAATCTAAGTAAATAACTTTTCTTACATTGGATGTTCTTGTTGTTTGGAACTTGTATACTAAATACAAGATTGTCGTGTTCTGTCCATGATGCGTTGAACTGTTCATCTCTGCGCACGGCAGAAATGTCAGAGAAGTTTAAATAAATTAGAGTGCTGTTGAAAATATGGTTTTCTACGAGTTGAACATGGGTCAGCCTCGCTTTGATAACTGCGGAAAAAACGTATAAAATACTTGATCAGGAGTGAGTATGAAACAACGTATATCATTTTTTTTAAACATTAAACTATCTTCAAACAAGAATAATAATACTCCCACCGTCACCCCTACCCACCTCTTTCTCTTTCTCACTCGCCTCTCTCTCTCTCTCTCTCTCTCTCTCTCTCTCATTCTAACCTTTTCTCTCTATCTGTCAATTTCTATCTCTTTATATATATGATATATATATATATATATATATATATATATATATATATATATATATATATATAGAGAGAGAGAGAGAGAGAGAGAGAGATCCTATCATTCTTTCTATCCTTTCATTTTCTCTATATGTCTTCCTCTCTCTTTCTCTCTATATTTTTTCTCTTCCTCCCACTCAGTCTGTCTCTCTTTCTCTCTATTCTCTATCTCCTCACTCTGCACATAACTGTATATATCATCCCCCTCTGTGTCTCCAGTCAATGACAAACGACTAAACGTAAATAACCTAGTTAAACCTGATAGACAAATATGGCTAGTGCTGGCCAAATATGGCTAGTGCTGGCCAAATATGGCTAGTGCTGGGTCTGCAACGTCCTGTTAAGGATACACAACTAACTTCCTCTCTATTTCTGTCTGTCTGTCGGTCTGTCTGTGTGTGTGTGTCTGTCTGCCTCTCTTTCTGTGTGTGTGTCCTTTTCTATTTCTCTCTCTAGGAGTGTGTGTGTCTGTGTGTGTGTCTGTCTCTCTATGAGTATGTGTGTGTCTGTCTCTCTCTCTCTCTGTGAGTGTATCTGTCTGTCTGTCTGTCTGTTTGTCGGTCTTATTCTCTCTCCTGGTAGTTAATGTCAACAATATGTGCTAACTGGGGCCTCCTAGATGTATTATGAAAAACTTATCCCTTTTGGGCCTAATTTGGTTCGTGTTAACCGAGTGTTTATCCTAAGCGAATACATGTTAATGAGGGGTTGCTGTACGTGGTAATGGGGGGAGGGGGAGGGCTAAGCACCCTTACAAATGTCATGGCGGAAGCAAGCCTAAACGCAGGAAAACAATTAATTAAAAAAAAGTATCTCTCAATGCACTGACTCCGCTTCTGTGTTGTCCCCACCAGCTGGCAGGTTGTGCACTGTTGCTGGTGGGTCAGAACGATACACCATGACTTACAGTGTGCCCAGAGACTAGGCTGACCTCAATGTCTCGATTTGACAACAGGACATCCCAGCCAGGTCAGTTTTCAACTCAGCTCCTTCCGCAGCAGTCGGCTCTGTGGCTAAGTCGATGCGAACCCTTCGTAATGCCGGGATTCCGGGTTCGGTCCCAGCTGCGGGCCATGCGCCTTGCGTTGGTTTCGACAGTGGTATCAAGAAAGCCGACGTCCAGAAAGCAATGGCAAACTACTGGTCGAAAATTTGCCCAGAAAAACCACCCAACAGCCAGAAGCTGTTGGGGTTGGTTCTGCTAAGTCCTGTAAAGAATACGCAACTAACCTAACCTTCCGCAGCTTCCCTAGGTCACCAGGTTTATGTGCTTTAAGCTTCCTTGGTAATAGTAATATTAAAACCCTGAGCCACTGTCGCCAGGAAATCAACGAAACAATATCTTTCTCAACTGCACTTGTGGGGTGGGGTGGGTAGGGACGAGGGGAGGGGGGTGTTTTTAAATATTACCAACAAAAAATGCGTCCCATATATATGCAGAGTGAATCTGACAGGAGTAAATACGTAGGCAGATGTAGGCAGTGACTACTTACTGTGTTTACTTTCACAAGCGTGTTTAATACCTCCGTCCAAGTGCTTCATGCCAGACTGGCTGCATAAATACTGGACATCAGACAGCTTTCGAAGCGTGGCGTTCTGGTGGACAACCTAGGTGTCATTGGACATTTTGTTAAATTTATACAGGAAAATAGATAATTGTAAAATGAAAACGATGTAAACATATCAAATCTATGTTGTTTTTTTTTTTTCTTCCTTATACTATAAACGTGCGAGCCGTTGTATCATAGTAGCTAGACCAGTGGCAGACATGATCAATTTTCATGTATAAGCGTTGACAAGCAAAGATGAAACTGGAGAGGGTACCGTATTATACTTTCCTGTTGAGAGTATGCGTGCGCAGCTAGCGTCGTAGTACAATACTAGTAACTGGTAGCTTTCATGCGTTACAATTTCTGCGTTGGTGACGTAATCATGCATCAAACGTTCCTTTCGCTGTGTTCCAGACGTAAAAGGAGTGGCGTATTTTTAATAAATAGTTTTAAAAAATAATAATAAGTAGACTTATTTGTGTGTGTGTGTTTTTTTTTTTTTTTATGGGCATTATCTAGTCAATAGAAAATGTAAGCTGTTATTGCAGCCGTTACATGCAGTCGCCGTTGCCAGGTTAGACTCTTTTATGAGGGCCGAAAGGACTGGGTTCACATCTGCACCTGTGTTCTGTGGGGTGGGTTCGAGAGGGAAGCCTAGACAATACATTGACTTTTTGGCTCCCTTGTCGGCAAAGGCTAAAAATAGATACAGAAAATGTCTTGGACAGTAAAGGCGGTCGGCGTGATTTTGACCACATCACTCAATGAATGCTGATTAGTTTATGACAAATATGAATCTAGCGTAATATGTTTCATGCGTCTGAATTTAAAAACTTAATCAAAAAAAAATATTTTTATTTTAATTCAAACCCAGAAATCCAAAACTATATATCTAAAGTATCTAACTGATACCTGCGAAAGATAAACTGACAAATATGGTCTGACAAAATCACTAACAAAGGAAAATTAAAAACAAATTTTAAAAAAAGTATTTAAAAAGAAACTTGGAGAGATTGTGTTGAATATGATAAAGAGGAAGAGATATGAGCTGCATGTGAGGGTAAAGAGACGTTAATTAGTCTTGAAATAGCTGAAGTTAAAGTTTCTACTAGATTATAACTAGGACAAACGGGCGAAAATATAAAATACAACAAAAATTGAAGAGAATAACTTGAATGATCGTTAATGTCTCATTTTTAGCGATAATAAATCCATTGCCAGCTTGCTAGGCAAGTCGCAAATTTATCACATCCCCGTTGGCCGAGGCGTTTTGAGGTGGCCCAGGATGGACACCGTAGCAACCCCGTGGCATAAGGCCACAACATACATCCCCAAATCCTAGCTATTTCTTTTTTTGTCTAAGACAGGATTACATCAGAGACAATCGTCAACAGCAGGATGTGTCTATTGTCGAGGCAGACTACAGGGCAAGAGAAGTGCCCTCTTTTACGCCTTTAGGTGTATGGGGCATATAGGGCTAGCCGTATTTTTGATAGACCAATCGGTACTTGGTGGGTGATGTGCATCACGCCGGTTGCCTTTACTTGCTAGGACTACACCCACCACACAAGGCTGGGTCGACATGAGATCCAAGGTCATTTCTCAGAAATAAAAATTATAAAAAACAGTCCGGCTCAGTCAGGATCTGAACCTACTACCTTCCGATCCACAGGCGAGAGTCTAGCTGCTACACCACGACGACCTACCATAAAACAAGAAGCAGAACATTACGTCTTCCTCGACATTTAAAACTGTAAAAGACGATGTGAAGTTGACAAAGAAGAAAAAGAGAAAACTTAAATTACCTTGCTTTTTTTGCACTTTGCATACTGTATATTGTACAATTCCCTGTTTCCACAACATCGAGTATTCCCACGTCTCGACCAAGGAAACATATTTCCACAACAACCCTCCCGCGATGAACTGATCACAGAATTCCCACAACACTCAGAGTCCTCACTCAGTTCGTGCACAACGCCCCCGCAACAGATCTGAAATTCCTCATCGTATGTCACATTGCCACAAGAGCTTCTGCATGGGTTGTTTCTATCGTCGAATCTGTAGACTCTGAAGTCTTTACTGCAGCAGCTGTGGATGATATTGTTATATTTTACTGAACCGTTTTTGCATATTTGTGAATGCACTTGCCGTTTAACACAATTGTCTGGGTGTACTGATTACTGATTTCAGAATCGACATCCTAGCACATGGGCCATACGCATACATGCTCCGTCTCCCGCAGCAAATGACTCAAGATGTAGATGCTAATTGTGTCTTCTTTTTTTTTTTTTTTTTTCAAGTATCCAGAAACCATGAGTTCTTAACACTTTGGTTCGGTACTATGGAAATAGCAACCCTTCGGCCTTGATTCCATGATAGGTACCGTAAATCTTGGAGAAATTTGGCTTTTCTGCCTACCCCCGGGCGTAAACCCGGACCACAAGGAGTTCGTCACCCGGTCACCGTGCAGTCAAGTTTAGCCAACTGCGCTAGAGAGCCGGGCTGCTAATTGTGTCCGTAGCATACTAATTATGCCCACGTCGTTGTCTTCTTCTTTTCATGCGTCCATCCATGCCGAATCCACACACATGTCTGTTCGTTTACACATTCCTACAGGTGGTATTTCATGTAAAGGTGGGTCTTCTCTCAGCACTCGTTCATAGTCTTCGGTATGTCTGCTTTATCCGATACGAGTGTTGTCCTATGTCTGTTATAGCCAGAAATTCGCTCTTTCATTCCATCACACAAAAGCATTTCAAGGACAGTATCCGAATCTCAAGGACTAAATGCTTCGATATGCAATGAGGATAATATGTCCACTAACTAAGGAGAGGGAAGCATCACACACACACACACACACACACAGAGAGAGAGAGAGAAAGAGAGAGAGAGAGAGAGAGGAAGGAGGGAGAGAGAGACTGGGGCTCAATGTTATCCTAAATTCAATTTATTAGGCAGAAGGGGTCGGAGGCCTGAGTGTAGCTAAGGTCCCAGGTTCCAGTCCCTATGCTATACAGTCTTCATTATGTATTTGGATTATATTGTAAGGAAAAGCGATGTGGAAGGAGGATGGTTGTTTATTTCGCCAGGCCTGTGATGATGATGATTTTTAGTGCATGCCCCTGCATGACCTGAGCCGTAAATCCATGGTGAAGTTTAAAGAGAGTATATGGATACGTTGCATAGTCGTGTCAGGTGAGCACGGAAACATTTCTTAGACCCTTTGTAAGGAGAACCGATCCCTTTTTCTCCTCCCACCCCCTTTTCTTCACTCGGTGAAACAAGGTGAAAAGCAAGACGAGAAGTTAACCAGACGAAAATGGGTACCATAAATATGGAGAGTCCTTGCTGGCTAATGAGGAAGGAGACGGAGCTGATATGAGCTTGTCCTGAATTCTGTGATATTAAAATTTACCCGGATGAAACACAATATGCTTGGAGACCCTGGTGCTGCGATCAGAAAGAAGTAAACAGATAGAAGGACATACTAGACAAAACTAAATTCGAAAGCCATAATTACCGTGCCAGGAATAGAACATATAACCTCAAAATGACCAATTAATCACCCTTTAAATGGTGTCTTTATTTGCATGTCTATCGTACAGCTTGAAATCCATAATTATACAATACGGACAGAATTTATTTTAAACCATTGAAATGGCCCCAGGTCGACCCAGCCTTGAGTGGGTACCAGGTGCAGTCCCGGGAAGTAAAGGCGGCCGGCGTGATGCTAACCACATCGCCCATCTTGTGCCGATTGGTCTAAAAAATATAGGTCTAGCCCTATTTGCCCTATACGCCTAAAGACGTGGAAAAGGGTCCTTTACTTTTTTTTAAATTGAAATGGCACCATAGGTTCCAGAAATTGATATTAACCAAGCATAGGTCGAATAACAGAAGTAAATAAAAAGCTAAGTTACCTTCCTGTGTACATACCTTCCCTCCTGTGGAGATATATTGCTGATTTCATAGTTGCAGCACTGCTGGCTGAGACTGTTGTATGGTTTATCGTCGCAGCAGTTATCATATCCTGCAGCAATATTATACACGCGCTGTCCACAACAGATCTGAGATTCCGGAAAATAGAAATTCAATAGACCACACGGCTCGGCACCTTCTGGCAACAGTGTGACCTCTCCTTGTACACAGTGTTCGTTTTTCTTTGAATTGTAGGTCTGTGCTTCTTTGGTTTTGAAATTGTAGCAGCATTCGTCATCGTCTGGTCTTCTTTTAGCCCGTGTTGTGATGCCTTCGCAGCAAAAGACAGTTTCGTTACTGGCCTGTCCGTTACAGCAGATATGATCTTTAGATATTACACTGACTGAGTCACCTGAAGAAATGAAAGAACATAATTATTTTCCTTGGAGAAATGTATTTTATTTACTGACTGTATAAAACACTAGACATCGAAAATGAACAATGAAAAAATGAAATTCGGAATATTTGTTTTTCACCACATTGCATTGTTATCAACAAAGCGCAAAGCGTGTCTGCAAAATGTCATCTATAGAGCTTGTCAGGGAATAAATTACAAACTGAGCATAAAACGAACAAACAAACAAACGCGAACTTAATAAAAATCAGAATAACAAAATAATATAATAAAAATTGTAGATTTATGCTCGCTTTTATATATATATATATATATATATATACATATACATATATAGCTTATATACAGGCATAGCAATATATATGTATTGTCCTAAGGTCAAGGGGTAAAATAGCTGAGCGACGGAACTATATTGTTTTATTATACATATGGAAGAAAGTGCAACGACTAACTATTGCCAGGAGCAAAAAACTTGACCCGACTAAAAACAGTATTTCTGACTATCCACCATAATGACCCGACGTCAAGCTAGATAGTATGCCCATGAAGGCTCGTTTCTTCTTCTTTTTCTTCTTCTTCTTCTTCTTCTTCTTCTTCTTCTTCTTCTTCTTCTTCTTCTTCTTCTTCTTCTTCTTCTTCTTCCTCTTCTTCTTCCTCTTCTTCTTCTTCTTCTTCTTCTTCTTCTTCTTCTTCTTCTTCTTCTTCTTCTTCTTCTTCTTCTTCTTCTTCTTCTTCTTCTTCTTCTTCTTCTTCTTCTTTTTCTTCTTTGTTTTCTTCCTCTTCTTCTTTTTCTTTTTCTTCTTCTTCTTCTTCTTCTTCTTCTTCTTCTTCTTCTTCTTCTTCTTCTTCTTCTTCTTCTTCTTCTTCTTCTTCTTCTCCTTCTTCTTCTTCTTTTTCTTTATCACGTTCACAGGCTAAAAACTCCAGCGGAAAGTTCTGGATCTTTGTCCGCCTGTGGACTGTTCCAGAACCTGAATGTTGCGTGTACTTCCAATTAACATATCTCACTTAATTGTATGCAGATTGTTGGTTCCTTGTCTCTCATGCAGAAGCACAACGACTTCCAAGGAAGCTCCCAATTAGTCTACTCTTACGACACGCATGTTGGGGAGGCAATGGAACCATTCTCTCTAAAATGGGGTATTGCTCGTTTGATATATACTCCTTACTATAGCTACGCAAAACAATAGGAGCAACTGCAGACCGAGAGACAGGTGTGGATTAGAGTTGCAAGTTCCCACTGTAGTGAGATGGCTACGATAGCCAACCAGCATAGTTATTATCAGAAGGGCGAACTACTGTAAGATACCATAAGTAAAGTCTGTCGCTCAACCCCACCAGGACTGTACAACGAACGACCAACAACTGGTGACACAAAGGGCCACATTCGAATAAGGATCACACGGGTACAAGTCAGAATAACCCCTTTCAGCCGTTTAGGGCACCTGACTACAGCTGGGTTGGTGCTTTTTTATAAGTAAAGCTGGGTTGGTGCTTTTTTATAAGTAAATCAAGCAAAGGTCCCATTGTATGCGCTAGTTGTGGACAGGGCATTTGAGGCAAGATTTCAATTTTTATAACCCAATCTACTCTCGGTGGTGATGTGGTCAAAATCAGGCCGGACGCCTTTACTTCTAAAAACATTGCCGACACCCAGTTTGGGCTGGGTGCCAGAGTCAGTTTTGGAAAACAAAATTAGACTCGATGTGGATTCGAACCAAAGACTTTGCAGCCAAAAGCGAGCGTCTAGCCACTACTCTGCGGCGTCTGCCCAGCTTTAAATATTGGCAAACTATATGGAAATTACCTTCTTTGCATATGTCAAGCTGATAATCATTTGACAGCTGACACAGTTTCAAATCATCATCGTCAATCAGCTAGTCCTTTACAGAACGTCGCTCTCTTCACGGCATGCCTGAAAAAAATTCCTTTCCCAGCTCTCCAGCCCCATGTGCTTTCAGTGCCAATGCATCTTTCATGTCCCGTATCTATCTTCGCGGTGGTCGACCCCTGCCTCCCTTTCCACAAACTGCACCCTCCACCACCGTCTTTTCCAAGCCAACATGACGTTTGCCAGAATACTTCAACTTTCGGGACAGGATGCTGTTTATGAGCAAATTCTCCTTGATGTTTAACACGTGTAGAATGTCGTTGTTTTTACTCTCCGTGAATAATTTTATTTCAAAAGCTCTAATCTTTTTTCTTCAGTGACTGAGAGTCCAGGACTCACAACCTTAAGTTGCCATAGTTTCAAATCAAGAATTTGATTCGTGGGAACCATATCAGATAGCGAACCCAGATCCCCGACCCTTGTCGTCACGGATGATGATGATGATGCATGCTGAAGGATAAAAGCTCAGAACAAGAGTACTAATTTTGAGAATGTAACTCTTACCCGTACAACACTGGTGAGTCTCTGTGCTATAGACAGTATTGCCACAGCATTGTTCCCTGTCTCCATCTATGTATGTGTAACCACAGCGAACTTTGCCAAATACTTTCTCCAGTTGTCTACCATTGTAGCAGTCCTGGTGGGTAGCGTTATAGAAACCTGTACTCGTATAGATAACAGAGAGCATAGATTAGTTTGCATAGAGGGCGTTTACTTTGCTGTTATCTACAGGAAGCAATGTACTTTACAGAGATCGTCATCATCAATTTCCACTTTGCCGATATGCGCCATGAAAGGGACCAGTCCGCGATCCATTGCTTGAGGTAGAAGGTCTTTGGTGTTGTGGGGAATCATTTTTTCATTTCTGTTAAAAATTAGGACCTCTACCATCATGTAGCAGGTCCTTTGCAGAACGTCGCTCTCAATCACAGTCTGCCTGAAAGAAACTCGGTCTCTCGCCAGTTCTCCCGCCTCATGTACTTTCATACTCAAGGAGTCACTTATAAACTGTGCCCATCTTCGTGTCGGTCGGCCCCTGCCCCTCCTTCCTAGTACCATGCCTTCTGCTATATTTTTTTCCAATCCGTCGTGGCGCTTGATATGACCAAAATATTCCAGCTTCCGAGAAAGGATGCTGTTTATTAGCCAATCTTCCCTGATGTTCAGATTTTTCAAGATGACAATATTTTTTCTCTTCTTTGTCCAAGATATTCTGAGAATCTTTCTATAGCATTTCATCTCAAAAGCCCCTATTCTCTTTCTTAAGGACTGAAAGATAGTCCACGACTCACATCCGTATGTAGCCACAGGGAAGATGCATGCTCTCAAAATTCTAAATTGTATCTCCCTGCTAGTGCTTAACCATAGACTTTTAAACCTGTTTAATATATTCATTGCTATGGCCATCCGCCTTTTAATTTCTTTTGAACAGTCTCCATTGCTATTTATTAAAGAGCCTACATATTCAAAGTTTGTGACATTTTCAATTTCTTCATCATTTATTGTTATTTTTGGGTGACAACCAGTTTTATCTGTGGACAATATTTTAGTTTTCTCTAAATTTAAGAACAGAAGTTGATCCTCACTGTGCTTTTGGACAGACAATATTAAATTTTCTATTCCCTTTACGCTGGTCGAAAGGGGACCTCTACCAGTAATCATAAATTATATGCGACTACTTATAATAATGCACAAACACTAAAATCCAGTCACGAAAGTGACGCAAATAACCCAGACCACAAATATAGGAGGAGACTGCTAGCAGCCTAGGCTAGCTAGCAGCAGTCAGAACGTGGTCGAGCTTTTCTTTTTTTTTCTCTCAAAAGGACTTGGACTTGGACTTGGATGTGTGCCATATTAGGAAATCATGAAAGTGTGATAGAACTTCTAATTCAACATGGGATGGATTAGACTAGTTAGACAAGAGCAAGGAAGAAAGTTTAGTCTGGTTTTCAGTCCTGCACTGCACTAGGGACAGAAAATGATTCCTTACAAATGTCACTGATCCATGTTCTCCAGGGCTAGCTCTTGTTTTCACATCACAACTGTTCACGTATCGCGCCTGTGTTGGTTGTTGTGGTTGCGTTCTGATGGGATGACAAAACCATTCATCTTCTGTTTCTTGGTGAATTTAGTGTGAGTGGTTGTTCCTAAAGTCTATTTGATGGTATTATTTCCAGTTTGCCTCATGTTAAGTTGGCGCTTTCCTCGGGTATCTCATTTCACATGTGTTAATTTTATTTAGGCTAGCCTTTGATAATATCAAAGTTTGGCACTCGTAGCATATTTTGCTCTGAATATACTATTTACAATCTGGTTCGCAGTAAATATGTTAATAATTTGTAACTATTAAAAATAACTTTGCATAGGAAAACCACGTAAGAGTCAATAAATGCTGCGATTTTCATGCAACATCATGTAGAGAAGGGCAAGTAACCATTTTTAGTCTTCAATTTTTTTTTTATTAAATTGTTCTTTTTTTAAATTTTATTTTAAAAGCTGAGGTTGTCAGTACAGACGTTGTTTTTTGTTCGTCTCGTCCTCTCGATCATAAACATATCGCAATGTTGTAGAATTCTTCTGATGTTATCTTTCTATTTTTTTCGTTGTGCTCTGTGTGTCTCTTCTCTCTTTCTCTCTCTCTCTCTCTCTCTCTCTCTCTCTCTCTCTCTCTCTCTCTCTCTCTCTCTCTCTCTTTCTTTCTTTCTCTCTCTTGCTTTACTTTCCACTCCATCCCTCCCTTTGTGTGTGTGTGTGTGTGTGTGTGTATGTGTGTGTGTTAATCCCCGCCTGCAAAGATTAGACCAACACCATGCCCGCAGAGTTTACTTTGCAAGATATTTCATGGTAACCATTTGAATCTCTGGGTTTACCCCGATTTATGTGTGTGCTGATGAAGGATCTTTAGCCGCAACGTTAACTGTTCGTTATATCGTAAAGCTCGTTAATCTACTTTTAGTTCGGTTTTATATATTTCCATGATGTATTAAAATAAGATCCGGTCTTGAAAAGGGAGTGGGGTGGACACGGTAAAAACATTATAAAAACTTCACAAAATATATTCAGTTGTTCACACTGACACACAATAATAAAATAAAGAACCCTTCTCCACGCCTTAATGGATACTGGGCAAATAGGACTAGACCGATCTTTTATAAATAAATCTGCACTCGGTGTGTAATGTGTTCTACATCACGCCTGTCGCCTTTACTTCCCAGGACCTAACCTGGTATCCGCTTAAGGCAGGGTAGTCTTGGGAGCGAAGGCCTTTTTTAGAAGTAAGAAAAACGTCCGCTTCCCACGACCTTCATATCCAATACACCACGGAGGCTCCCCGACATACAATAGAATACACAACAAATTGACAATTTTTACTAACTGGCAGGGAATTCACGAAAAATGTACCATGATTGTTTTCTAACTGATACAGAATGCACGAAAAATGTACGTTGTTTTCTGGCAGAGAAGGTACGCAAATTGTACAATGACTGTTATATAAATGACAGAGAATGTAAGAAAACTTTACTATGACTGTTTTATAACTGACAGAGAATGTACGAAAACTGTACTTTAACTGTTTTCTAATTGACACAGAATGTACGAAAACTTTACAATGACTGTTTTTAACTGACAGAGAATGTACGAAAACTGTACTTTAACTGTTTTCTAATTGACACAGAATGTACGAAAACTTTACAATGACTGTTTTTAACTGACAGAGAATGTACGAAAACAATGACTGTTTTCCAATTCACAAAAGACTTACCATTTCCACAACAATAGATATTTGGTTTCCTCATAATTGTGTGAGTGGGGAATCCTGTGTGATTTTCTCTACAACATTTTTCTGTTGTGCTGTCGTACGCGATTGTGTCACAACAGCTGAACTTGTGATTCCGTTCTGTTGGGTTTAATGAGTTCATTTCTGGCATATCATGCAGAGTTCCTGGTATAGAAAGAGCATCAAATAGGATCAACGTTCTAGCTCGCAGTTGTGGTCACAGTTAAGTTAGTTGTATGTTCATACAATGCGAAGATTAAACAACATTAAAGGTATGTGGTTAAGCACCCACAAGAAAATCAAAATCTCTTAGACGCTTACCACTCAGGGATAAAACGAGACGGATATACAACCAGACAATTACTGGTGCTATCGGAACTAGAACTCTTCCCTTGCTGCTGAAGATGGGAACGGAGCGCTTACTGGAGTGTTTTGATTGCTGTGATGACAATTCCTAATTCAACATTACATTCAACATTTGATAAGAGCGACATCTTGCAAAAGGAATCGCTACATGATGATAATGTATATTCTTTACAGAACGTTGTAAACCAACATTAACTTTAACTGAATGTGGTTCTACTGGAGGATTTTACGTTCAGTAGTTTGCCATTGGAGCCCCTGTGGTATAACGGTTACACCTTGGCAGTTTGAAATCAAAAAGAGTAGCCTAACAGCGCTGCCCAGGGAAAATGTTGAGTGAAAAATCTGCCCAAAGTATTTCAGGATCCTCGCCGGGGCTACAGAGTCTGTGAACTGTGCTAAGCTTTTTCGGACTCAGGCTTGTGTTAGAAGAATAACGGAGCTCTTGTGCGTTTACACCTGTGTGCCATGATGTTGATCCCCCGACTAAACTAAACTAAGTAGATCCAAGAAGGTGGTGGTGCAATAATATGGATAAAGATTCTAATAGTTACGTGCTAATAGTATCGGCTGCAACTTGATTAAAAGTCCGCCTATATTTCACATCTTTCAGAACCTCTGCTTACCCTTTCTAGCCCCCTTCCCCTCCCTTTCCGTGAATTAGTTTTTCAGCGTATAGCTTATCCATTTGTACTATTGCACTCCCCATTTTATGCCAGAGAGCTTTCACCACAATCGCTTTATCGTAAAGAAGCTTACAGCCCAGAGGAGCAGCAGCAAATCTTTAAGTCTGCTAGCTAGCGCCTACACCTGAATATCCTGAACAGAAAAATTCATGATATGTTTCCGATCTGGGTCTTATCAAGTGACGCCAGCCACTCTGCGCGCAGGACGCCAGTTTCAATATTTTCTGAAGCATGCTCTGTGAGTCCTCTACAAGTACCACATGTTGGACTGTACAGCTCTTAGTCATTGGAAAGATGCCGTTACCGCCTCCACCTCCATTCGTATACTGGATTAGTCCTTTACATGACGTTGCAGAACCAACCGCTAGCATATTTTGGCTGTTGTTGTTTTTTTTTTTTGGGGGGGGGGGGCGAGGGGCAAATTTACGTCCTGTAACTTGCCATTGCTTACTGGACGGTCGGCTTCTCGATACCACTGTCAAAACCTTGGTAAGACCCGCAGCTGGGATCGAACCCGGCACCCTGGCATTACGAAGCGCGTTTGCAACGCCTAAGCCACAGACGCCAACGCATACTGGATATGTCGACGTTACGCGCGAGGCTGTCTTTTCACACAGTTATCCATTCATGTTTGCTTTAAAACTGCACCTACACTTCTTACCTCTCACTGAATCATCTTGTATAATTGCGATGCAGAATGTATCCGGGAATGTGTGCAACACTATCCGCGTGTAACTAGAAAGAATTTGTATTTGAAATTTTGTATCCAGGATATGTGTGTCTGCGGTCGTGGTATTGTTATCTTAGGGGGGGGGGGCGGATCTGTGTTGTAATTATATGTTGAATCAAATAAATGTAGCAATTACAGTGAAACGTGTGACACATCTCAAGCTAGCTTGTTTCTGACATGTAATGAGACACGGATTCGACTGAAAAGACTTTACTTCAAGGAACAGTGGGGGAAAGGGGAGGGGGGGGAGGGGCGGGTAGTCGATTAAACCAAAAAAAAGGGGGGGGGGCAAACGAAGATCATGGAATGGCGACATAATACAAATTGGCATGACTAAATTACTATACACTTGTTCAATAAGCGGACAACAGAGAAAGTTTCGACACCCTGCACCCTGGTCTGTATATTCCTCTTCTCCGTTCACTATTAGAAGGGCTGTTGGGACTTTGTGTTGTAGCTTACAGCTAGGCTGTGATATCTGCAACTTTTGGCTCCACACATCCGATTTCAGCAAATCCTCAGTAAGTTGCCTTTTAGGACATGCCTGTTAAGGAGACGGATCTTCATTTCTCCCCCCCCCCCCCTCTTTTTCCCCCTTTCCCCAAAATGGAGCCCTGGCACCCATAAAGGAAAGATCGTTACACAATAACCAAATAACACTAGACAATGAATAACACTATCACAACAGTTATTTAACACAGAGGGTTACTGATACTTACTACTACAGCAGCTGTTGTTTCTAGTATCATACTTCTGGAGTCCGCAGATATGCTCGTATTTGCTGACCACTCTGTGAGGTTTGAAGGTGGTCAGGCATCTCTCAGCTCGTTTGTCATAGATCTTCCCATCGCAGCATTCTAATGCTGAATGTCTGAGAAATGTCTTACCCCCACAGCAAAAATGTGATACAGTGTTTATGGTTGTGTTGCCACAGCACTGAAGAAAATCTCTTTCTAGCTCTAGAGAATAGAAGAAACGAAGGGAAATAATGAGTGACATAAACCAGTGATTCCCAAACTGTGCGCAGCGGTGCCCTGGGGATCCGCGACCTCTTCACAGGGGCGCCGCGAAATATTGTAAAAGCTTCATAATTAATTTAACCAAGATACGAGTAGTCCTACTTTTACTTAGGTTAGGGCGCCCTGAAAAAAAAAGTAATTGAAAAAAGGCGCCGCGACCAAGAAATGTTTTGGAAACACATAAACATTTATAAATTATTGATAATCGTGACTTTTATGTGTCTTTTACGGGTCGACCCTTTTGACAAGAAAATAAAAAAGACAGTCATACACTTTTTTATCTTATGATAGTAGTTACCAAGTAATTACATTTTCTCACTTTCAGACAAAACATATACACACATACATCATAAGAACATCATGTGCTAAGTTTAACTGAGATGAAATTACATGTTCTCTTACAAACATACACACACACACATACACACACACACACATATATATATATATATATATATATATATATATATATATACACACACACACACACACACACATATATATATGTAGGTTAGTTCGACGTTAGTTTCCCCAAATGGAGTAGACCACTTTTCTTTTACAACTTTGTTGGTCTGGCCGACTTTCCTGAAGGTTACGGGTGTGTCCCGCTCTGTTGTTTGGTTTCTGCGATGTCTTGCATTTACGTTTTCATTCTGAGAAAGAGAATGCCTGTGACATAGGTTGCAGCACTCTCACGTTTAAATTCTTGTCATTTAATAAATGAAAAATTTCAAATTGCTCACAAGAATACCTGAAGGTTCGACCAAACAACTGACAGTCCTTTTGTATCTGGGTCATCGATAGTTTTTACGCGTACCGGCTTTCCTTTCAACCAATCATAAACAAGCCATGGGATAACTATGCGTGTTTTTTTTTTAAAGAAGTAAATATAGTCATCATTTTTCGGCCATGTTATGAGAAAAAGGAAAATAGAACATGTTGTGACCACTGGGAAGATCTGTGGAAGGAGGGATAGAGAAAGACAATGAGAGAAGATTCTTCACAGTCTTTCTGCATGGCATGGAGGTGTGTCGGCACACGAAGTGATACATGCTGCAGTAGATCGTGGATTATGGAGAGGCATGATCGCCCACGCCAGTCAGCAAGGCACATGATGATGATGATGATATATTCTCTAGAGAACATGAGACCACAAATCACTTACGCTGTGTATCATTGAGATGGATGGACTGTTGCTGGCAACACATTGTGTCTTCCTTGTCCACGGGTTTTCCACCACAGCACATTTGTTCACGACACTGTTCATCGTTGCTGGAGCACGTTCTCTGTCCGCTCCCTCGTGGTGGCACAAATCGATCCTCAATCTTGCCTCCACAACAGATCGATACGCTGGTGAAGTATAAGTTCTCATCACCTGAAAGTAGTGTCAGTCATAGAAGTGGTTGTCTCTTTTATAATTACATTTGTTTTTTAATGTGGTTCTTCTCCTTCTTCTTTCCGTTCGGTTTCGCATGCTCAGATCAGACCATCAGGTCTGGCATGTCACTAGCAGGTCCTTCGTGGCTTAACATAGCCAGCTCTGCACACTTTGCTCTTGAGGCCAGGTGTCTTTTCGAAGTTGTAGATATAGTGGGAGGGTCTGCAGAATATGCTGAGGTTTTTGTGGTCCTGTTTGATGGGCACAATGTGGGGACTGTAAAGCTTTATTTTATGCATGTGGTAGTGTGTGTGTGTGTGTGTGTGTGTGTGTGTGTGTGTGTGTGTGTGAGTGTGTGTGTGTGTGTGTGTTAAAGAAAACTTATCCTCTGCAATAATGTACGTTAAAGAACACTGATCAATAATTATAATAAACATATTAAAAATATAAAATGATTATAGAACATTGCTGCAATGGAGACAAGGTATAAACGTAATTAGAGCCCTTCAATGCTTGCTAACTGCTAGACTGTGACAAGAGACACCTCATCAATTAACTACAATGAAGCAAAGATAGCTGGAACAACGCGTCTGAATAGTGACGAAAAAAGTTCAAATTTTTTTTTTAACATCTTATGTAAATTTTAAATATTGTTTTATTTATTGTTTGTATCATTTTATGTTGAAATATTTATTAACTGGGTATGCAACAATAATTTTTTAAAGGACAAAATATAAAGACCAATTGTTCACTCCCTAAATTAAAAAAAAAATAGCATTCATTGTTTGTATTACTGTAATGTAAACTCGTCATTAAAAACAACAACAACAAACTGCTAGAGCCAGCTGGTAAATTTCATTATGATATGTGAAATTGGCAATTCAAAATCAATCAGAAATGATGATTTTAAATTCTAGTTTTAAAAAAAAATAACATTGATTGTCAAGTGTTAGTTGTATTTCTCAACTTACCACAGCACTCTTGATCTCTGACGCGCAGTTTGATCTCCCCATTGCAGCAGATCCTCACAGAATCGTCATAGATTTCATGTCCTCTTCTAGTGATGCAAAAATGAGGCTCTGAAATGTATGTACATGAAGATAACTCGTTTACTCAAGCATACCATCACATAACCCTTGACCTGTTTAAGATCGTGGAGAAGTATCGGTGAAAGCACTAGCACATAAAACCAGCCCTCTTTCTCTGTTCTCTGCTTAATGAATAAGTGTGTGATAACTTAGTCCTGTCCATTTCTTGATGGTGTCATTCCAGTTTCTTCTTTGTCCTCCTCTTCTTCGTCACCCCCCCCCCCCCCCCCCCCCCCCCCCCCCCCGCTTTCAATGTTCCTTGAAACACGGTCTTTTGCAATCGACTCACGTCTCACTACGTGCCCGAACCAAACTAGCTTGCGACATTTCACCACTACGAAGAAAGGCCCCTGTTGACCTGCAAATTTGTATATGTTGTCTGTGACATATTTGTTAGCTCTGTGTTCTACATAACTAATTCGTAAAATGGGTCTCACCTCAAGCATAACCGGCATTTCACAGGATGAAGACTATCCCATGCATTCTATCCTTGCATACTGAGTCTGGGTTTTTATTTGACGCTTTGGGTTCAAACTGAGGTACGCAAGTGTTCGTTGCTCTTTCATTAACAAGAAACGTATGATGGTTCAGCGTTCTTCTATTTCTTCTTCTTCTTCTTCTTCTTCTTCTTCTTCTTCTTCTTCTTCTTCTTCTTCTTCTTCTTCTTCTTCTTCTTCTTTCGTCTTCTTCTTTTCTTCTTCTTCTCTTCTTCTTCTTCCTTCTTTCTTCTTCTTCTTCTTCTTCTTCTTCTTCTTCTTCTTCTTCTTCTTCTTCTTCTTTCTTCTTCTTCCTTCTTCTTCTTCTTCTTCTTCTTCTTCTTCTTCTTCTTTCTTCTCTTCTTCTTCTTCTTCTTCTTCTTCTTTTCATTCTTCTTCTTCTTTTCCTTCTTCTTCTTCTTCTTCTTCTTCTTCTTCTTCTTCTTCTTATTCTTCTTCTTCTTCTTCTTCTTCTTCTTCTTCTTCTTCTTTTTCTTCTTCTTCTTCTTCTCCTTCTTCTTCTTCTTCTTCTTCTTCTTCTTCTTCTTCTTCTTCTTCTTCTTCTTCTTCTTTTTTCTTCTTCTGAAATCTTTCGTAGATGTAACTGCCTTGTGCCCGTTTACGGCATGGCTGCTATGTTTGGACTCTCGGTCAACACATCCGACTTCCGCGGGCATTTGTTGACCGAGTAAGCGTTCTTGGTGTCTCCTATTTGAATCCCAACTGTCGAATAATATATTCTTTAACCTTTCAGCTTTGGGCACAGCATTCTAAAGAAATCTGACTGATATAATGGTTTTTTCCAATGTGTGTTTAGCCGTGTTCAAAATAATGCTTTCATTATATTTTTGTAGCTTCATTTTATTTGCCTATTGAGCATAAGCTTCAGAATTACTTCTTGGAATGAAAGATTTAAGAGCTACAAAGAAACAGTCCTGGCGAATGGAAGAGGTCCTAGTCTCTCTAATGGTGTACTATTGTCAAAAAATCATCATATCGTTGACAGGAAGAAATAAGCACTAGCACTTAAGGGACATGTAATTGCTAACCACATTCCTAAACTAACAGCTGTGATCGAACCCGGCATCTCGGCAATACGAATCGAGTTCGCAACGCATAAACCACAGACACTGACAAAAACTGGTACAGGTGGAATACAAAGTAATTAAATAAATGTTTGTATTCGATTAACAAAACTTTTCAAGCAAACATAAAAGCTTTTTCTTGTCAAAGTAAGTGTATGTTTGCTATGCAAGCAAGGCGACACGAAACAGAACAATGAAGTTTACGTAAGCAGTAACTCTATTTAGGAATTTACGGCTCATACTTGCGTAACAAGTCAAGAAAACACAGAATCCAGTGACAAATAACCAAAATAAAGAATTGGACATAGTGGTTCTTGGTACATATACTTTATGTTAAATACAATTTGTGAAATTACCTTCTTTGAGTAAAGCCTATATATAGCTTTTATATTTAGAAAGGGGTTTTCCTATCCTGTGACACATTTCACAAAGTATCCTGGATTCGACCTGCCCCTACCCTCCCGACCAAATATCAAATTGATTCCATTGGTTAATATTCATCTGGTGGGGTTTTCTGTGATCTAGGTAAGATTAGTTGCGTATCCTTTACAGGGCGTTGCAGAACCAACCCCAACAGCCCCTGGCTGTTGTGTGGTTTTTCTAGGCAAATGTGCGTCCAGTAGTTTGCCATGATCTAGGTAAACAATGAACAAATACTGAGTTTTCAATTAGCACCCCCGCCCCCCCCCCCCCACAATCCTGCTGACGGGGGAGGGGGGGGGGCTACGTTACAGTCCCGATATGGGACGCGATTTTTTTTTCCGTTATTCTAAAGCCCCACTCCGGCTGCTGTCAGGGGCCCTAATATAACCTAACGGATGAACTGTGTTCCTGGGACTCACACCCGAGGGATTCTTATCTGAATGGTGGCACTTTGTGTCACCGGGTGTTTATCGCCTGTTGTGCTGTTCTGGTGGGGGGTTGAACTTCATTTATTTAAGCACCCCCAGACACATTCAGATGTGTGAACCTTGCGTTAGACGGTGTGTCAACAGCTGCTTGAATGATGACATTTCTGCATGTCCAAACAAAAATAAAACAAAACAAAAAATTTTAATTCCTGCTTACTGTATATCAAAGATTGGCTTCGGTGCTTCAGTTGCTGTCTCTGGGTATATTACCCAGCGGGACCTCGCTCTCTTCTGTGGTCTGACTCTCGTACCACTGTTCGAAAATAGGAGGACCTCGTATTTTTTTCCCCGAAACATACAATGCAAACTTTGAGCACTGGTACGTCTAGGATTTGATTATGAACAAAGTTCACTTACTCTTTGAGCCATATAATGCATTTAGACGCAAGTCGCTGCAAGATTGTATTGTTACATTTGTTCATTGCTTTTCCTGGTCTGAGAGCCGACACGGTGTAGCGGCTAGACGCTCGCCTCGGGCCCGGGGGTTACATATTCAAATACGGGTCGATTCCAATTTTTTTTTTAAAGTAATCGTAGCTCTGAGGTCGACGCAGCCTAAAACTGATACTGGGTAAAGTCACGGAAAGTAAAAGCGACCGGCGTGCTGTTCACCACATCGCCCATCATGTGTGGAATTGTCTGTAAAATAAAAATCTAGCACTATAAACAGAATATTCTTAATGGCATTCCGTTTCATTCTAGACAACAAAAAAATCAAAACCTCGATCACGTTCAAACCTGCGAGATGTCAACAGACTCTGGTTATATCTGTGGTCTGGTTTATTTGCAGCACTTGCGTTGTGTAACGATGGGATTTCCCAAAGGGTTCCCATATGAAGCAGGAGGGTGACAAGGAAGTCAAGCGAATAGAGCCCAAGAGGGAAGCACTGGCAAATTCCGTGCTTAACTGAACTGTTGAAATGTGACCACCCGTGGAAACAAACGGGAGGAAGGTTTGAAGGTGAGAACAGGGCTGCCATTGGTGGATTTTTACCCCCATATCTGGGTTTTTATTTGACGCTTTGGATTGGTGGATTTTTACCCCCATATCTGGGTTTTTATTTGACGCTTTGGGTTCAAATTTTGCAATCTTAATTTTTTTTTTTTTTTTAAATATATCCTTATATAAAAGTGAGTAGATGTTTCGTTTCATAACTATAAAATTTGTACTTTTTAACAATCTGTGTATTTTAATTTTGTGTGTTTTTTTCTACGAATTGCTTGGGTTTCTGTTTAGATTTCTGGGTTTTTCACACAAAAAAACATTCTATTGGCAGCCCTGGGCGAGAGAGTGGTCGAGTCAGTTTGTGTTTGACCGTACGAGAGGAAAGTTGCTTGCGTCGAGTGACTAACAAACCTGGTGCTTTATTAATGTCCTACCTCAAACAGGAGAAATCCACGGGACAGTCTAATATTTCAGGGGGTGGTAGATAAGCAGTCGTGGGACCTAGGCTGAATGCAGTCGTGGGACCTAGGGTGCATGCAGTCGTGGGACCTAGGCTGCATGCCCTCGTGGGACCTAGGCTGCACTCTCTAGTGCGACGTAAGTAGGCTGTGGTTAGGGCCAGTTCTAGATGTTTTTGGGGTCATTAAAGGCATCAGAAAGCCGGGAAACCCAGTCTTATCACTCTCTAAAACGTTGTATTGTCCTGTTACGTCATCTGGGGTAGTATATTAATAAATAACCACAAACCTGTGATTGTTGCAGAACAGAACGAGGACAGAGAAGATATGGCAATGGCAGAAGAGGAATGATCCCCACTTGTATCGCTGAGCGATTGTGCATCTTCATGGCACCTTGATTCATGTGCAAGATCTCTATGTATGTGAAACTTTTGGACCGAAAGGTAATTGGATGTTATTATTCAGTTAGTGCCAGCTGTTACAGTGTTCGTGTGGGAGTATGAAGACGACGAGTGTGAAAACCAGACAAGGACTGGTCGATACATTGGTTTTACAACAATTAACTATAGTTACACCGGGGTGTTATCCATTTATCAGTCCATCTGTTCATACTAACTTTCCATCAGGACAGGTGGGAGAATGTTGAATGTTAAATGTTGAATTTAGAATCAACATCACAGTACTCGAGAAACTTACAAAAGTGCTCCCCATTCAATCGGAGTTTCAATTCCGTTGGCACCAGTACCCTTCTGATTGCATATCCGTCTCATCCTTCCCCTGAGATGTTGCAGAAGCCACTCCAGCATGTTTTGGCTGTTGTGGTTTTTCTAGACCCATTCTACGTTCAGTACCATTGTGATAACATAACCAAAACCGTCCCAAGACGTTTACAAAAACCCATAATATTACGTAAGGAAGGTTCATCTTCCTGAAACAGCACACCAGAGAAGGTGCGCCATACAGCATCATCGTTCCTGATAGATAGCCGGTTTAGGAGCAGGGCTGTCGAAGTTGGTGCTTTCGTACAAATCTGGAACCATTTGACCATTACCGAGCAAAACTGTACTTTTGGTACCACGCCCTGTGTTTTGGTAGGTTTTAGAAATTGTGCAT